TCTGGCTGACCACGTTTAAGGCGGATTTTTGTAAAGCCGGATGAGTTTGTTCTCTGCGCACTCTGATTAGACCTCAAAAGGATTGTAGTAGCGACACACCTTCGAGTGCGACGCTCAAAATCTTGCCTCTCGCACCTGCTAGTTCGTATAGGCTGACCCCATTCAGGTCTGGCCAATCACCTTCAGGGTCGACTTATGCAGGACCTCACTGTGACGTCTGCAACGGCCACAAAATATCGGATGGGCAGGCGCACGGTCATCCAATTGTCCCCTTCCTCCAGCCTATTTTCCTCTACCTCTGTAAAGACTACACTTCTTCTGCCACCCAAAGTCCCACTTCTTCGCTTTCCACACGGAACTAGACCTATAGATCACAGTGGCCGCTGCGATAGGGCCACTGTAGCTGAGAGGCGCAACGCCACAGACAAACCAAAATTCTGGGCGCGTTATGTGGATGACACGTTCATCGCCATCGAAAGGGATCAGGTGCTCACGTTCATGGAACGTCTCAACAGCGTCTTCCGGGACATCCAACTTACAATGAAGGAGGAAGAGAACAACCAGCTGACTTTCCTTGATGTCCTCGTGTGTCACAAAGATTGTGGTTGTCTAAAGACTAAAGCATTCAGGAAAGTGACAAACTCGATGCAAGTACTGAATAACAACAGCAACCACCTAGTCAGCCACAAACGCAGTTGCGTAAGGACGTTCTATCAGCGTGTCGAGACGCATTGCAGCGAACCAGAAGACAAAATTGCCAAAGTACAATTCCACACATTCATATTTGATGAGGCCGAGATTCTCCGCAAGAGGTGACAATCGGGTGAGCCGAGAATTACTTGAGTCATGGTTCACGGGTCCCCAATCCATAAACAAGTGCAATGATTTGCCCAGTTCATATTCGGTGTTGAGATTCAATTTAGGCAAGGCAAGTCGCCAATTTGGGAACGCACAGGCCACGGCGTCGTTTTATGCGAACACCGGAGAACCAGATGGCCGAGTAACTATCACGCTCGAGTGCACCACACCTAATGAAAGTTCAGCAAGCCAGAGCCCGCATACCCGTCGACAAACTATCAACGCGCAAGAAGGCAATTACCGTTAATTGTCGTTATATGTTTGCGGTAATGACTATGTC